CCGTGACTCCCCATCAGGAAGCCATGAAGATGTCAGAGAAGACCGAATCCAGAGGAGGGAGCTGCAATGCAAGAGGCCTGCCCAGCGAGGAGGTCCGAAGAGGATGTACGAGGTTGCGAGCCCTTCCTGGCCAAAGGGTGATGCTCCTGAAGGATCTGAAGGGCTTTTGAACTTGTGGGCAAAGAGCAGTGGAGGCTGAAATGTGAGGAACTGAAAGGACTTTGATATTTTAAGAAAATAAACTGCCCCAAAAGGGAGTGGTGGTGTGAAAATACTGCACATTCACTCAATACAAAATAAAGCTAGACAACTGCAGAAGCTTGGGAAAAATAAATCAAACCATCCTTCATCTCTGTCCTGATGGTTTGAAAATAACATAGCCGGAAAAAAATTCATGTGTGGGTGGGTTTGCTTGTTCTTGAGGAGAAAAATCTGCCTGTGTGCTGCATGCTAAGGCAGACCTCTGAACAGAAGAGTTGCTAAGCAGGACTGTTATCTCCTCACTTTTTTGGGCAAGATCAGCCAGCGTGGGAGGCCGGGGCGTGTGTGTATGTACAAAGCAGGAAGGAAGAGAGGCACAGGAGAGAAGTACATTTTTAACCTTGGCATAAAAAAAGCCTGATTTTGCGATCTGGATGGCTAGACCTGAACCAGTGCCCTCACGTAATGGCAGTGTTGAGCCAGAATCGTCCCGAGCACCGTGCAGAGCCACGATGGATTGGTAAGCGCTCCCTACATCCACCATGAAATTAAAGCAAAGCATGATGAGACCCTGGCAGCAAAGTGCTCAACTTCAAACCAAACAAGCTGCAAATAACTGTGTGTTTCATATGTAAAAAAAGGCAAGTACACTCTCAATGGGTCTCGACAAGCCACACAAAAATTTCACTGGTAAATTCAAAACATAAATACCAGACATTTAAATTCCAATACTTGGGCTTTTTTATGTTTACATATTTCATCTGTGCAACTCATCACTTTATACACAAATTTGTCTTCTCCAACTTTTTCTTACATCACTAAAAATAGTGAAAGATATCTCATTTAACAGTATATATTAAGTATGAATTAAATAAGTGAATGCATCCTCTCTTCCATTTCCACTCCGACTTGTAGGTCTCTTTCAAATACAGAGATACAAAGTAGATGTAAGGTACTCCTCAACGCAGTTTAAGCAGTGATCCTAATTTCCTGCCAGGTTATACACACAGTCATGCTTGCTAAAGCCTGCAGTCAGCTTTCCAGCTGGTTAGATAATTGTTTCACATGGTCTCACCTCACTGGAATCACCGTGGCACAGCTGCCTGCCCGCAGAAACACCCAACACCTTCCCTGGCCGCTCTAGGAAGGCCGCAGGGAGTTTCTCCTGGCTGTATGTTCATGCATCTCCCCAGTGCTGAACTGACTTTTCAGTCTCCACACACCATAACTGCATAACCATTGCCTTTTTTTTTTTTTTTTTTTAAGAAAAAAAGTGTTTTTGAAGCTTCTGGTTGCCATGGTGAGGGCACCAGAGAAATGCCAGAAGGAAATGAAGGCCAGGAGGACTTGCATACCATAACTGAGGTAAGGGTTTCGATGACACAGCAAATAAATGTTTACACATTGAAAGAGGCAGTTACTCTGTGTAACAAGCAATATATGATAGTTGAGCATATAAAAAGACTAAACTGTTTTTAATTTCAGAGTTAAGCTCGAAAATCTAAAAAATTCTCATCTTTTAAAATTTTGGATGTATTATAAGTCAAGTATCTCTGACCCAATGTAAAGCAATAAAATTATTTCACTGAAGAAATGTAGTACCTTTCCTTTAAAAATAAAAACACTGTACCTCAACCTTCTGAACATGCAGACATCACTGAAATAAACTTAAATAGCTTCACCTCAAAGATTGGCCAGCAGTACCTCTGGATGCTACCAGGCTGCTCAGACCCAGCTGATTTTAATTTCTTTCCACCTTTCTAACAGACACAGAGCAACAAATATGCAGGTCCTATCAGATTCTCCAGGCTGCCAGATGCTCACGGGTTACATGCAGTATTAAGCAAACATGTCTGAGAATCCACTTATAATGTCAGGACCGTCTTCATGGGCAGTGGTCATAAAACTCCTATAATTTGTTTAAGACTTATTATGAACAGACTCTAAGACATCAGCAAAGATCAGAGGTAATGAGAATAGCTTTTCAGTAGCTTTTAAATTATTTAATTTAGGAAAGAGAAATTGCACATCAGAGAGCAGTAGTCAGATTGCACATCAATACGTGCATCAAACGGCACATCAGAGAGATGGAGCAGTTTGATGTCTGAAGATGTCTGGTCAGGGCTGTAGCCCTTACAATAACATGCACTGCACAAAATATACCATGGTTCCTGAAATATATTCTCTAATTTATTTTCTTGCTAAAAGATTTAGATTTTCCTACTTGAAAGAAGGAAAAAAGCTTGTTAATAAAACAGATTAAATCAGTACCTAAGCTTCCTAGTATATGACAGTAATTAACCCTTTAGTTTTACACCATAATCCACTGCTCAGAGAACTGCATGTTCAAAGAAGCTCAAGTCCATACATGTTTGTGTATTTTTGAGAAAGGTATTATCCTTGCTACATACACTTCACGTTTACTAATACTTGCCACAAGATGAGTCAGTGACTATTCCTCTGATCTAAATGCATATATCAAGACTGGGTGAAGATACGAATGCATGTGTCTAAGACTGGGTGAAGATTTACTAGCGAGCAAGGTCTTCTTTAAAATGTGTCTGATAACCTCTCTTCCTCTTCTTGCAAACACCTCCAAACTATTTCCTCCTTGCCGACTGGAACAAACCAGAGAAACAACAAAGCTCTATTGCAAACTTCCAATGCAATGTAATTCTGCAGCTACAGAAAAAAAACCCCATTATGCACAATACTCAATCCTGAACCTGCGGTACTCAGAAATGCCTTCTGGCCTTTTTGTGACAAATATTGTATTCAAGAGGAGGAAAGGTAATCGTTTTCAGTCCTGAATCTCAAGAACACTATGACACATCGCAGCTGGAACCTGGAAGAAATAATGCAGTTTCTATCCCCAAACCTGGAAGAAATAATGCAGTTTCTATCCCCAGATCAGTTATGAAATTTGCTTGATGGACATTCAGTTGCAGATACTGTATTAAAAATGCTTTTACTTCCTCACTCGAGAAACCATAGCAGGGTTCCTCTAGATTTTCTACTTCAAGAAAAGAGACAATAAAAGGAGATACTTAAGTGAGGAGAACTGGTAGCTCAGACACCTCCTCTTCGTGCCTGATCACCCACTGAGCTCCCTCGTTCCCATTTCCCCGTGGCAGATGCCAGGAGCCGAGCAGGTGGCAGGCCCCTGGCTTATTTGGACAACCGGTCCCTTACACAACAAAAAGTTGCAACTTGTTGGCAGCTCCAAACAGTAACTTTCCAAAATGTCCTAGGTTCAGCTTCTCTTGTAGCAGGACACTAACAGCAGCCCCGCAGCCCTCTGTCCTCCAACCTTCTGTTTAAAACAGTTACCTAGACTCAGGGGTTGCCCCTCTTCGTCCTCATTCCTAAAATCTGCACGCCGACACTGCATCTATTAAAAAAAACCCCACAGAGGCTGCAGCAAAGGGATATTTATTACATTTGGCAGACTTGGCAAAAGGTCCCCTAAAACGTTAAGAGAATAGTTATGCTCATCAGATCAACACCACCATCAAAAGGAACGAAAAATAACACACATACAAACCCATACAAGGTCTCTGTAACTTACTTTTATATGTTACGCTAAAGATCTAGTCTTTGCTGTGAGTCCTGGCTACTCATAGTGTGAATATTTTAACAGGAAGGAGCAGACTCTGATCACATTTTACAATCAAGTATTTAACATAAAATTATCATGGTTAAAGCATTATGCAATACCTCCTTGGAGTATTTTCTTTATAAAAGAGCTTGGCTGCAAAACCAAGCTTGCACAAATTGACTTGAAAGTAATAAATTCCTTAGTCAACAGGTTCACATTATACTCAGAGAAACACACAGATCCAAGAGACACTCCACAAGTACACTTTAGCAAACAATCCTGTTATTCATGGACGACTATAATAGGGTGATTACTAACAGCTGTTTGCAATCTCATTACATATGAAAAAGCTTCAAAAAATTACAGAAGAAGCACCCCAACTTACAGATGAACTGAAGAGAGAAGGCTCTGTAAAGCTGCTTAACCCCTTCCCAGTCCTGTTACCCTCATTACTCACATTACACCCCAATACCTCCAAAGGCTCACCCTCACACAGCCCTTACTCAGCCCCTATGGCTTCAAACTACTCAAGGCAACCGTGTTACTTTCCAACGTTTTCCTCAGGTTAAACCCAAGGAATGTATGTATTAAAATATAAATTAAAAAATAATCTGAGGGTGGTTGAGTAAGTTTAATAGTTTTATGTGTAGCCTACACAAGTACTGAACTTACACAGCCAGTAGGTAAGTGCTAATAATGGTCAAGTATAGGTATGATTACCCCCAAGGACACGAAAAGAACACATAGTCTAGCTTTTAAACAAATTTATCCCAATTAAAAATGTTAATTAAAGCATTGCTGATGCAAATGATAGGTTAATATTCAAACCCGGAAAGCAGAACACCACGTAATGCCCTAATTTGTTCGTATTTGACCGGTGACTCCTTCCCTCTCTTCCCTGCCCCGAAGTTTTAATTAAGTACTTTGCAGCCAGCCAGATCTTCTTGCAATAATGCAATGAAGCATAAGAATATAAAAGCATCATGAGAAAAAACAACACAATAAAGGCTGCTTGTTCACAGACAAAAACACTAGGCAAACAAAAAGTTGGATAATCTGTTTAGTGAGTCTTCTTAGAACACAGTCCAGAGTTCTTCTAGCTAGCTGTGATGTAGATTTCTTTCTTTAAGCCTCAAAAAGTCATCAGCAATCTCAGAAAATAGCACACTCTCATTCTTATCCCCCCCTTAAATACACTCACAGGGCTCTGCAGTATCTGAGTGACCCTCTTCCTTTGCTCCATCATATTGAAGTCCTGTCTCAGGTCAGGAGACATGTTCCTCTCCCGGATGTACTCGGGGTCATTCTCATTGATGCGATCGAAGTACCGCTCTTTGTGAGGCATGGTGGCCGGGGGAGGAGTAGTGATCACCACCTGACTGGCATCAGCACTCATGCTTCAACACTGGGGATAGCAGGCTTCACCTGAAACAAATAAAAAAAGAGGGAAGAATAATTAACAATTAAAAGGAGGGCATTGAATATAACTTCCAAGTCTGGACACAAATAACATTCTTTTTCATCTCTGCAGAACAACATCTAAAATGAAAGGAGAACAAGTGAATAATTACCACAATCAGAAAATTAAGGAAAAGTTACAGAAAACGTTTTCTAAAAACATTAATATTTCCTGATACTGCATAGCCATCTCTATTCAAGTTAAAATAAAAACCAACAGCACACAATTAAGAATTATAACATTCTAAATGCCCATAACATATTTTATGACAAACTGTGTATCAGTTGCCCCCGTCCCCCACCCCCCCCCCCCGGATTTGATACAGCTCTCCTTCCCGACATGTTTAGCCAAACACACCCAGAAGACGGGGCCTCCGTCTAACATCCGCTCAGAGTTCATCTCCCAGCTCCAACGAAGACATTCCTCAATTACAGCACTTCCAAAGCATCTCATAACCCCAGCTTAAAGACGAGGCGCCGGGCTGCCCGAAGACTGCCAGGGGATCTCTGCAGAGTGCTGCCTGACGCCTGCGCTTTCAGGAGACACTCCGAGGCACCGAGAGAAGTGCAGAGAAGGTCGTACGTTGGGTTGCACAGGATTGCCACGGCATCCCCGAGCTGAGTTTCAGCTTTTGTCCTCTTATGTGCAATTGTACGCAAAGATCCTCACTGAAGCACGTTACATTTGAAAAAAACGAAGCTCACCACATTAGGGAAAAAAAAAACCAAAAAAACTTTCGTATTTTGGCAGAAAACTATGCTTAAAACTTCATTTAAAAAACCTGATAAGCATTTGTAAACACAAACAGAACCAGATCAAAAGCAGACACCTGAATTTTCATACAAAGAATCCAGCTCAGAAGCACACTCAGGAACACCATTCCTCAAACGCGTACTGAAGAGGGACGGTTTCTCAGGTTTGAAGAACAAAGAGAACCACGATTTGTAGGATGAGATAGTGTATTATGAAAACAGATTTTAACATGCAAATATCTACATTCAATAATATATTTAATATAAAAATATTTGCATGCTAATATATTTGGTATGTAAATAATTCACCTCTTCAGAGGAAAACAAGCCAACTCTTCTTCCTTCATGTTTGTCGAGCAGTATTAGACAGCACGGTTTGACATTATGGTACCAGTGGTTTAAAGTGTCCTTGATCCATGGCAAAGTTCACGCACCTCTCGTATGGGTCAGTGCAACTACTGTCTGGGGCGTTCTGTGAATGGTGAACTCACGTGGAGCACTGCACCTCTTCCAACCACAACCTCGCAGACTTTGCAGATGAAACATTTGCTAAAACCAGCTTCAGCAACCTAAGCCGCCCTCCTGTCTTTCGGTCCTCGTGCTGCACCCTCCGCTGCGCAGCCACGCCACGAACCAGGCTGGCAGGAGGATGCAAACTGGTTTTCAGACAGTTTCCCACACTGACACCCAAGTGGGTTTGCCGGCACGCTGCAAGGGAGAGTGCAAGGATGAAACCCCAGGCAGAAAACAAGACAGATACCACTTAGAGATTAGAGAAAGCATTAACAAATTAGGTAGAAGAAAACCACGTATGACTTTCTTATATATTACAGATTATGATAAAATTTGGGATTGAGATGAAATACAACTAGCACCCTTCTAAAATCAATCACTACAGGTTGTAACTGTCTTTGTTCTCTATGCCCTCTTTTTTGTTGTTTTTTTTGAGGGAGAGAACACGTCCCGGGATGCAACATTATCCATCTGGACACTGAGAGCTTTCAGGAGGTACCAGGCATGCTGGATGAATGTACCATGATCCGGCACATTTAATTCACATCCTGGAGGCAAGCTCCGTGAACTCTGTCGGCTTCGTTATGGAGGTTGGGGAAGCATATCAGCAAGTTTTACATTTGCTGCTCAGGTGCAGTCCAAGTTCTTTGCTACATGTGATCAGTTTGGGGATGCTGGGGAGAAGACAAGCTTCAAGGAAGTGAGAGTTTGGCAAAAACCTAGTAGAAGTATAAAAGGAGCTTAAGTTTTTCTAAAGAATGAACTATTGCCTTTTCCAGTTATGACAACTGAAGAAGAAGGGTAAACTTCTTGGGACAGCGTTTGGGGATATCATCACAGCTCAGCTTGCCTCTGTTGAGGTTAGAAGAGATACCCTTATAAATGTAACCATGTATTACATTTCCCCTCCTCTCTCCTCTCCTTCCCTGAAAAACAGTGAGGTTGAAGAAGAGAAGAAAAAAAGCACCATGAGAAGACAACACAAGACCATGAGCTCACTCTCCAACTGCCACAAGGTATGAAGAGGTTGAGACCAAACCTCTCAACCTACACTGTTCTCCATCTGCGTCGGGGTAGACACCTCTATCCGAGTCAGAACTGACACCTTCCAGGACCTGCTGGTACCTGAAAGTAGTCCAGAAATGCAGACAGCAAGAACCTTGCTTGAACTGGCGACCAGCTGCGATTCCCGCTCTTCAGTTACTTCTTTCCAGGAGTTGCCTTGTCCAGCTGTTTTTCCTGAAGCGCTCCTGAATCCTGTTAACCCCGAGTAGCAAACTGTTGCTCAGCTGCTGATCCACTCGGTTGGCTGGACCAACTACATGCATGTCTGAACTTCAGAAAACTTTTATTGTTATTATTATAGGTTTACAGGACATAATTAGTTCAAGTCTGTTACTTTACAATTCATTCTTACAGTGACAGAAAAGCCCATTCATCTGTAAAAAGACAGAAATGTGGATGGCAATAGAAAAATCTTTTTTGTGGATTTTAGGTAATTGCTTTGGACTTAATTTCTTCCTTTTTCCTTTCAGACTGGTTTGTTACCTCTAGCCATTAAGACTACAACATTAAAGTCCTTGTACTACAAAAACCCCTCCGTTACTGAACATAATACGGGTATTGGGTCCAGTTGTTCTTATTAGGTCTGGTTCAATGCCCGCTCTGTTGGGCCCAGGCTGACTCTCATATAACCCCTACTGTGTGGCTGGAAAATTTTCAAACAAATCAGCCATTCTTTTATTATTTATTTGCATCTTGCACTGATTTTTTTTTTAAAAAAAGGGTCACTTGTTAAAAATGTGCTCAGCATTTGGGGATCTGAAAATCTGTACCTCCTTCTCAGTACAGGACTGGCAATGACATAGAAGTAAGTATTTACAGAAAATCCTGATCTCAAAAGTTATGAACTGTGACAGAGGATTCTCTCCCCCTCCCCACCTTTTTGTGAGATTCTTTTGCCTACAAGAAAAATCAGCTTTGCTTTTTGGCTTCCAGCCCTTTCAAAGACATTAATGAATTACAGAAGGTGAGCGATCATCTTCCTGAAGCAGTACTCGCTAATGTTTCTTATGCATGCTACACTGCGTAAGTATATGTGGTTCCAGAGACTAAGGGCACAGGTGGGCATGAGAGACTGTACACCCCTATAGCAACAAGACACTATATCCAGACTGGTCAGAAAGGACAAACACACAGAGAGAAATCAAACCTGAACAAGGATCTGATTCTGTCCTGGTAAGAGCCATCACTTTTGCTCAGCTGAGACAAACATTCTAGGCCACATTTCTGCCTAACATGCACATGCTGTCATGCCAAAAAGATATTAAAAGTGTGCATAAAAGCAGTTTTCCCACTTACGGTTCATCTACTCCAGTGGGGGGGGGAGGGGGCAAAAGAAACTAAGAAGAATAAGTCAGCATGTGTATGCTTTTTTTCTACAGAGTACCCATCTCTGCTGAAAACACTTTTAGGGACCTGTGAAACAAAGCAGCTCAAAAGCTCTTGCTACAGGGTAACTTCTTAATCTAACTCTGCTTCCCCCCATCTAGTTATGCCCTCCTGGTTCACACTGAACTGAACTCTGGTACTGCTACAAAAGAAAACAGGTCGTGTCCTCCCCGTGCTTTGATGCCTTACATAGCTCACGGGTTTGGCCTCCATATTCTGTTCTGTATTTTATAACCGTAACTGGGCTACAGAGAGAAAGTAGAGCATTCCACCTTTGTCAGGAGGATATGCATCTCTCTACTTAGAAGTAAGTTTTATTTAACAAAAGCTTCCAATTTATTGCAGGAACTTGGAACTGTTGATTTTAGGTGCAACATTAAGTACTGAGCATCCCCATTTGACACACTTTGTAAAGTCTAAGTAACATGCTATGCTGCTTTAGTTGGAATAACTGTTTTCAATGCCAAATCACAAAAGCAGCTCAAAAATAATAATGAGGTCAGAGAAACAAGGAGTACTGAAGGAAAAAAAAGCGCAAGAGACCAAATGCAAGAAAAATTGATCTTGCCACAGAATACCCCAGAAAGCACTGACTTGATATATTTACATCTTTCATAATGTACAGAATGTATATAAAAATAAACACCACCATAAGAGAAAGACAGAGCAACAGAAAAGGGATCAAATCATTAGATCACCTAGCAACGAATCATTAACCTACCTTTCATGCTGATTTTTTACAGCTGGTTTCAGACATTGCCATTTTCTCTAAGCAGTGCAATCCATCTGTTTGAGAGTTTCCAGCACTGCAAACCAGCAGCGCGTGCACCGCATCAGTAACCAGTACGACTGATTTCGGGTCTGAGCACTCACGCTAGACTACACTGCATCTGAGCATTTCTTTTTTAAGGAGCACATTGTGTTACTCTGCTCTTGCTATTTCTTGTCTGCTTGTTTTTAAGGAACAG